ACATTCACAATCCCTTCGGGTATAGGCATAAAGCCGTATAATCGCGTCATTGAAGCAGTTCTGACCATTGGAGAAGCCTTTCGCTATACACGTGGCGAGAATAAATCAATGGTGGTATTAGTTACTTTTGCTTGGTTGGCCGGTTTCGTTTTTTCTATATTAAACGATTTCATAATTTATTTTTATTTAACGCCCTGAAAGTTATTCTGCGATACATTATCGCGGCCCCTAGATGCCGCCACGAGGCTCTCTTGGAGGTTTTCGCACAAAAATTTCCTGAGACTGCCCCGCGGGTCAAGAGTTTCACACGCTCCACTAACTATAACTTTAGTGCTACGAACACAGACTTGCCCGCAATAACCTTCCGCTACCAGCTTTAACTGAAATCGTGACGTGTGGCACTCGCGTTTTTCATTTATCGTAGCCATCTTCGCTTCCTTTATGAACGCTGTTGAACGCCCGCGCTCCGCATCTCCTCTCAGACTCTAGGCCGTTTTTGCCGTTTTTGGGCATATTACCAGCACTTGGCCAGGAAGATCAAACCCGCAACGTCAGCACACACATGCATCATCAGTCGTTTAGACTGAGCCACTAGCGGCACTAGAGACCGTGTTACAAGATGGCGTTGCCAAAATAATGCCGTTGTTACCCGACGCCACTCCATACCTACGTACTAGCTACTAGTAGCTTGAAGTAGTAGTAAGTACTTACTAAGTTACCAAGCGCACTCACTAGTACTAGTAACTAGTAACTACGCGAGGGACGCGCAGGAGCTTGAAGATTAGTAATAGTAATAATGACTAACTCTGTTACTAGTATTAACTAACTTACTAATAATGACGAACCCTAACCATATTGATAACCCTAACCTATTATATTGATATAATATTATATTTAGATTGATGTAAATGACACTTGGTTTTATTGGCCATGCCATACATTGGGGGGCCCATATAATATTGGGAGCCATGTTCTCTATCCTTGAACCACTAGTACTACTAGACTACTATACGACTAGCCAAGAAACGCTCTTTGCTAGGGTTAGAATACCCCTAGGCACTATACTAGACACAGGCACTTGAAGCGTTTCAATAAAATATAATGCTAACTAAATACGAAATCTATTTACTACGAAATTGTTAATGTTTCTAGTATGGCCTACTCTCTTCAAGAAGGTTGCGAGGCTGCCAAGGCTATATATAGACTAGGAACTCGCTCCCACCTCGATAGCCATTGAGTGACTAAGCTAAGCCGCAGAGGTGCGAGAGAGTGCCAGTCTATGCCTGGTATAGGCGGCGGGCAGGCGGCGCACTGCTTTTCAAACTCCCGTACGAGCCTCGCCATTGGAACGTTGCAAAACGTTGCAGCGTTGGGGCGCGAAGAGCGCCGGTAGGTGTTTCGTGATTCTGACAAGCCGTTCATTACTGGGCAAGCGTTCGCGAATGTCAGAATTTCGACAGTCTTTCTGTGATTTCGCGTCACACAGCTCGGTTACGAACAGATTACTCGGTTACAGTTTTTATAGCAAGTCAACACTGTTGACGTCCAAATGTCTACCTCTGTGTCGCCCACTAAAATTGCGGACTGTTCGCTGGCAGCTATGGATCCGTGCGCCGCAATTCATTCGGCGCACGGATCCATAGCTGCCAGCGCTGCATACTGTCGTAGGACGTTGCCGCGGTCGCGTGCGCCTTGCCGCGGAACTGCGCGGAAGATCTGCGCTTCAGCGCAATTGGGATCAACATCTCCTTTCGGCAACGCTTCTCTAGTTTACCGTCTCATCTGGTTTCTTTTATTTCTCAGTTATTATAGCTATGTAAACTACAACTTATTCCGGCTTGCATATATATTAATTGTCAGCCGTTTATTGACATTGGATGCCAACTTGACTAAATTGTGTGAATTTTGAGTCATACTAACCACTATATTAAAATATTACTTACAAGGACTAATTTAACGATAAGCTGATTCTCATAGGATGATTGTAGCCGCGTGGTTTTCTGAAATAATGCATGTATTACAGTCAGTATTAAAGTAAAACTTCATTACATAAAATAAACAACTTTCCATAAAAATATAGACATGAATTGTTATTGAGTAAACTAATGGTATTGTCTCATATTACGGTCCAATTTCAATCACCACCTGATACTGATCGCTAATATTTGGAAGTACTCATCTAGCATAAAGTCATTAAAATGACATATCATAATGACCACTAACCTTTTGTATCTTATGAACATGTGAATTGTAACCGTTTAAACTCCCTCAACTACTTATTTGCCTTACAACAGATTTGTCTGCATTCCTAGTTCACAATTTCAAAGGAGCCTATCCCAGTTTGTGAGCCCTGGTTGCTAGCCCGCCGATAGGCGGCGTTCATGCTAAGCACGCACAGAGCGTAGAGGGGGTTGGCACAAACAGCAGCAGACGATTTAATAGTGTCGGCGTCAAGCTTGTAGCGACCTTGAGCCCAGAACTCAAGACGGAAATAGGATCAGCAATCACCTGTGTGGATACAAAACACAGTGGGGGCCGCCGAATTACACAGACGCTAGCGTGTGCTGCTAATGAAAATGTAGCCTTGCAAATAATTAATAGATTATAAAGTAACTGAGTGCCATATACTACCACATAATGTCAGAAGCTCGCATTGTACTTTTATGTCATCACAATGCCATAGTTGCTAGTTTTATAAATAATTACTCTGCACGATTCTCCCGTTTAGTAAACCAAAAATTAGTTTCGTTTAGAATAACAGTTTTAAGTTAAACTATGTAATTGAACACAAGTTTCTGCATAATGATCGGAAGCAAGTGGGTAGCTAGCATCAACACTATAATAGCAATCCAACTACGTATATATATATATGTCTGGATGCTTGAGTCTATACTGCCGGTAGAGTGCTCGATGCATTAAGTTGCAGAGCGTAATAAATTGTAGTCTGTAGATAAATTAAAGACAAGACATCACTTTTAGGCTGTTACTCTCCGCAGTTTCACGCTTACGCCGATCATCAGACAAACTTTAATGAAGAATAAACCTGCGTATACATTCCACCCGGCCCCCCACTCCGAGGTCGGAAAGGACCGCATGCGCGTTCCAAAATCTCCGGTAAACGGGTATTTACTCGCGCGACAAAATCCGGCCCAAGAATTGTAAAAAGGGGGTGTATATTGACTTTTCACCCGGAGATTTCTTAAAAAGGGGATGTTTTCCTCCTCTTCTTCATTTGAATATCATAAAAACTTCAAATCCGGATCAAATTTCGGGATCAAATCCGGGATCAAATTCCTGAAATTTCCTGGCTAGTTTTGAAAGCTCATTCAGGATTATTTCACTTTGGAAAATAAAATATTGCTCCTAGTTCCCCTCAATCACTGAACTCTACACTACGTAGTGTAGACTGGTACCGGTCGACAGTTCCACACGCTACACTAACGTCACTACGTCAGTGTAGCGAAGGATACGTACCGGAGTAAAGGTGGCGAACGGGTACCAGTTCTATACGTAGTGTTCGCGATTTAGGGGGTTCTCCTCACAGACAGGAAACCCGCAAAAGCCTGCGAAAGGGGGCTTCAGAAATTTTGGTAGTCCTGAGATAGGGTGGTGCTTTCAAAGGGAGGAACGAGCATATGCGTACCCTAAATAACACTGATGGCGGGGCCGGGACATTCCATAACCTATATATCCATATATAAACATGAATGGCGCTATTTATATAGCATATTTACATACATTCATGTTATATAGGTTATGGAATGTATACAAAGTTTATTCTTCATTAAAGTTTGTCTAATGATCGCGTTTAGCGTGAAACTCGGCGTAACACTAAAAGTGATGTCTTGTCTTTAATTTTCTACAGACTACAATTTATATATATATATATATATATCTATCATATATATCAAGATATATATATATATATATATTATATGATTTTAATTTCAGGGGTAGAAATTAACTTTTGAACACGGAAGTCCAACGGATTGAGAGGGGATCCTCAGCAAAATAAGGAGTCCGCAGTCTGACGTTCAAAATTAAAGATATTAATAATAACACATGCTTTTTGTTAAGATTCATGTGGTTGCACGTCTGCCAAATTTTCTTTGGACATTAGCTGGAAAATACGATAATTCCGCGAGGCCGTGCTCTGGATTGAACTAGTTGGTATGGCAGAATTTTCAGGGAGTCACACGGACTCCTGCATATGTCAAATCAGGGAGTCCGACAGTAAATCAGGGAGTATTCGACTCCAGACTCCCATTAATTTCGCACCCTAAATTTATAGATTTTTAATTTAATAATAAATTACTGAATTTATTTGTGTATAAAGAATAAAATCATACTTATATCGATTGCAAAAACCCGAGCAAACACTCACATAGAATGCGACGATGAGACAGACCATCACGATTGGCAGTGATGCTCCATAGAGCTTCACATTCCTCTTCCAGGATGGGGACGTTGGCTCATTTCTTCCCGTCACAGGATTCACCCCCATCGTACCCTGCATCGAAAACCCACACAGTATTAACTGAGACAAAAATATGAAAATTAAAAAATCAAACATTTTTGCTACTCAACAGCAAATGCCAGCACAAGGCACATGAGACCACGCCCCCACCAAAAAGAACAGTTCCTTGTAGTAAACGGGTCTCACTGGAGCCAAACAACCACCTAAACAATAAAGTATTAATTAGCAACAGCATTTCATTAACAAAGCACTGTATAAACAAAACGACTACGCAAGTAAAACAAACAAACAACCAACCAGAAGCTACGCTGAAGATCGAACAAGTAACAAATTTACTGCCCGCAGCACGACCGCAAACAAGTGCAGGAGAACAAACAAGAACCACAAACGAAAAACAAGCGAACACGCTCGACTTCCTCCCCGCCCTCCCTCTCACCTTGAACGCGGCGCGGGGCTCCTCGACGGTCTGCATGCCGATCGTTCCCCACCCATACGCGAGCTCGTTGCATCGTCGCTTCCACGCCTCCAGAAACACCGTGACCCAGATGAGGTTGAACCCGGCGAAGAACGTGTGCTTGTTGACGTTGTCCCACGACAGCAGGAAGTAGACGATGCCGATGAGGGCGGGTGGCACGAGCGCCTGCGTGTAGAAGCCCAGGAAGGCAAAGTAGACGCCAAGCTTCTCGCCGAAGTACGAGCGGATGTCGTCTGCCGGAAACAAGAGAGCGCGTGGTGAGACGGTCGTTTCGTCTTTTTGTCTTCGCGTCGCCGCTGTCCGTGCCACGGTGGCCACCGCCGCCATTGTCGTTGTTGTTTTTGTTGTTTTTGTTGTTTTTATTTTTTCTTCATCGTCATCATCATCGTCATCATCATCGTAGTCATCATCATTGTCATCGTCATCATCGTCATCATCTTCAGCTTCTTCTTCTTGTTTTTCTTCTTCAGTGTGGTGCAGGGCAGGTATGATAGTTTGCTGCTTTTACAGAGTGAGGTCACTGGCTGTAACACAACCTACTGATGTAGCAATCGCAGAACCCGTTTCTCCAAACGGTATCAAGTGAAGCTAATCGTGATAAAATGCCTGGCTCAAGGTCACAGCAACCGCGATCAAGGTCGGGGTTTACAACCTCAAGACTATTCTGCTCAAGTTCTGGCTATCACGCCGCTGTAATTACCCAGTGGTTGAATGGCAACAAGATTCTGGTACCAGTCGTGTCCTAGCCTCTTCAGGGTGTCTCGCTCATGCAGTGGGTACATCTGAACGATCACGCCCTTGTTCATGCACTTTTGTACTGGAAAAAATACACATTTTTCGTTGAATAATTGTGATACATTCTGCATTAGACGAATCTAACTATAACGAGGTCTGTGTGTCATTGTCTGTGTGCAAATCTTTACGTAAAAGTCTGTGTGGTAGCATATGTGTGCAGTCTTTTTGATACATTCTTCGGCGTTAGACAAATCTAATATAAGTGAATGCGTGTGGGTGTATGCGTGTCATTG